TACTTCTTTTGAAAAACTTCAAAGATACGGAACTTCAAGCTGGATATTACTAGTATTAAATTACTTGCAGGCAAACAAAAAAGAAAATGTTCATTATTAAGACCTAACATTCTTAAACTTTGCCCTTTAAAAAATTCATTGTTCAAGGCTCCAGTTTAAATTAAAATATGTCTAATACTTAAAAATATTTTAATATTAAAGCAAAAGGTCACTTTCAAATCTATAACCAGATTTCAAGAATATCCTATATCCTAGGCTTAATAGTCTTGTCCTTAAAAAACAAAACAAAACCAGTATCAGAATAGCTAGTTGACAGGTATAATTCTAGACACCAACTACAATAATAAATAATGGCTAATTTTTTTTTCTTTAGCATAAAATGAAGTGATTAAGAATCCTGGCCCGAGAGGCTGGAGAGATGGCTCAGCGGCTAAGAGCACTGTTGCTCTTCTAGAGAACATAGTTTGGTTCTCAGCAACCATATGGTGTTGAACAACTTTCTGTAACTCCAGTTCCAGGGAATCCAACATCCTCTTCTGACCTCCATGGGCACTATACACACTTACATACACACAGACAGAAAAGTCACATACATAAATAAAATTATAAAATAAAAAAAAAAAGCCTGATCCTAGATGGGCATGGTGGTGTATACCTTTAATCCAGCACTCAGGAGGCAGAGGCAGGTGATCTCTATGAGTTCGAGGACAGCCTGGTCTGCATAGTGAATTCCAGATCAGCCAGTGCTACACAGTGAGACCCTGTCTCAAACCAACCAACCAACCAACTAACCAACAGAATCTTGGACACAAGTAATATTTCTTGGCCTACCCTGATTTGTAAGATATGGAAACTAACAGTATCTCTATCTCTTAGGGCTACTAAAAGGTTAAATAAAATACATACCAAATAAGATTTTGTATTAATATAATATTCTAAAGAATGACAAACAGAGTATGTGTCACATGATATTTAGTCAATGAGGGACTGCATATGAGATGGTGGTCCCTAAGACCCTGTCTCCAGGTGATGCATCATTTCAGTTTGTGAAGCATACTCTGATGCTCATACAAAAACAAAAGCACCTAATAATGCATTTCTCAAAATGTCCCATACTTAAGTGATGTGACTATGTGTAGATATATAAATCCTTATAACCAAATACAAAATCAAAAACTAGTGATAGCACACATATTAGCCCTCTGCTAGGGAGACAGCTCAGTTGGTAAAGTGCTTGCTGTGCAATCATGAGGACCTCCGTTCACCCCCACCCCCACCCAGAAATCACATAAAAAGCTCGACACAGTGTCACATCCTTATAAATCCAGCGCTGGGGAGGTAGAAACAGGCAGATCACTGAGACTTACTGGCCAGCCAGCCTAGCTTAAGACCAGTGAGACCCGGTCTCAAAATACCAAGCTGGATCATGACTGAAGCATGAGACTCAAGGTTCTCCCTTAGCATCCACATGTGCATGCACCTGTACACAGAGAAACAGAAACCTCCTACAACTGCCACCTCAATAGAGTGCTTCAAGTATACTGTGCCATGAAATGGGCTTATACCTTAGTTCTTTCATACTATGTGACAGACATATTGCTTACTTTAAGAAGAATGGAACAAAAGCAACACTGGCATTGAAGTAAATTAAACCCAAACTTTATTAATTTTCAGAGAATAGAATACTCTATGACAGATTTTTCTGCATGGAAAGTCAGTGATATTTTGAGCAAAGTAACTACAATGCTAGTGTTCTACTTTGATTGTTGGTGCTGTGATGAAACACTAACCAAAATCAACTTGGGGAGGAAAGGATTCATTTCATCTTAAAACTTCCAAGCCACAGTTCATTAATGAGGGAAGCCAAGTCAAAAACTCAAGCAGGGCAGGAACCTGAAGACAGAATGAAAGCAGAGACCATGGAAGAATGCTGCTGGCTGGCTTGCTCTGCTACGATTCTTATGTAGCCTAGGCCCATCTGTATAGGGATGGTACCATCCAGTGAGCTAGGCCCTTCTAGATCAATCACCAATTAAGAAAATGCCCCACAGACATGGCTATAGGCCAGACGGAAAAAATGCCTCAACTGAGCTTCCTCTTCCCAAGTGACTCTAGTTTGTGTCAAGTTAACAGAAAGTAACCAGAACAACTAAGCTTAAAAAAATTCTGGGGCTGGAGAGATGGCTCAGTGGTTAACAGCACTGGGTGCTCTTGCAGAGGACCTGGGTTTGAATCCCAGCACACATATGGTGGCTAACGACCATCTGTAACTCCAGTTCTAGGGGGTCCAACACCCTCTTCTGACCTCTACAGGCACTGTGCTACATGGGTGCACTTATATACATGCAGATACAATGTTCATACACATAAAAAATAAAAATGAAAAAAAAAAAACTATTTTGGATAATTTTTAAAATGCTAAGGGGGGCTGGACAGATGGCTTAGCGGTTAAGGGCAATGGCTGCTCTTGCAGAAGACCCAGGTTTGGCTCCCAGCACCCACATGCCAGCTAACAATCATCTGTAACTTCAGTTCCAGGGGATCTGATGCCCTCTTCTGGCCTCCATGGGCACCAGGCACACATGTAGTACACTTATACATATGCAGGCCAGACACTCATACATATAAACTAAAAATAAATAAAAATATAAAAAAAAGTTAAGGGCCAGCATGATGGCTGAATAAGGCATTTGCTGCCAAAGCTGATGAATCAAGTTTGATCTCTGGAAATTTGGTGGATGGAAAGAACTGACTTCTAAAAGTTGTCCTCCAACCTCAGCATGTGCACCATGACACGTGTCGCCCCCCCCCAATTAAATGTAAAATAATTTAAAAAAACGGATCAGACTACAAAGTAAATCTCAAATTCATTTCAAGATCCATTGACTCTTCTGATAAAGGACATAAATGTCACCAATAAAGGGAATAAATGGGCACAACAAAAGCAAAGTGTAGCTTCATATGAATTTCTGTACTTGTACTCATGGTTGCCTAGGAACTACTGTGGCCTTTTGTACACAAACAATCATTATTGTTTTCATACCAACTGTTCCGAGGCCACAAGTTTAAGGAACTTTTTGATGAAGTCAATGAGTCCTTGGATGGTTCGAGTTCGTTCTACTGCCCACTTCTTCGTTTTCATTATTGGGGTGTCTCCCACGGCCTTTAGCAGGATGTCAACTAGAAAAGAAAAAACCTTACTGACAAGTATATCAGAGCATCCAGTGAGACTGATATGAAATGGTTCAGAAAACTAAGTCTTTAACCTGAGTATTTTACACAATATTATTCTGAAGCTATGTCAAGGATGTAAAAATAATGGAAAGTTTTTTCACTGCCTTTCCCCATTGATCCTACAAGGTTCTCTCCATGGGATTGATCTTTAGGATGCATTTAACACAAGTAATTTCAAAGACAAGGAAGAGAACTGCATCATGATATTAAATAATCCTTCTGTTGATAAAAACAGCAATGTAATATAGCCTCATGCATGTCTTACCTACCAAACTAGCAAAAATAGAATCGTGTAGACAGCACTACTGTTGGTGCTGTAACACGGCAGTCCTTCTAGATCACAGGACAGCAGCACACATCCAATACATGAACACAGACTTTGACTCAACAATACAATACTTCTTAGATGCGGTGGCCCTGTCACTTGTTAAGTCTTCATAAAAGCTTTGTCATTTCCAGGCTAGTCTCTCCATTTGTAAGGGTAATAGGACCTATCTCAGAGGGCTGTTGTGAGGGTTAATTTAATATATGCTCATAACAGTATCAAGTCCACAATGCATACTAATTGAACCTTAAGATTATTAAGTAGGTATTTAAAAACACGTTATAAAAGAACATTTAGGCTGGGTGTGGTGGCACAGGTCCTTAATCCCAGCACTCGGGAGGCAGAGGCAGTCTGATCTCTGTAAGAATGAGGCCAGCTTGGTCTCTACAGAGTGAGTTCCAGGCCACCTGGGGCTGCAGGACGCCCCGCCTCAGAAAAACAAAAAGGCAAATTGGTAAAATATGCTAAATGGAGTGCATATAACCACAACTTCCTTAAGAAAGCCTCACAAAAACATATTCATATAATTTCAGTATACCCACCAAAATGTTACTTCTTAGTAATGTCATTAAAGGCAATTATTACTTATTAGTCATGCTTTTTGTAACTACCAAGCTTCATACTAAACTTTTTTTTTTTTGTCTTTTTGAGACAGGATCTCCTTGTAGCCCCAGCTGTCTTGGAACTCACCATGTAGACCAGGCTGGCCTCGAACTCACAAAGATACGTCTGCCTCTGTCTCCCAAGTGCTGGGATTAAAGGCATGCGCCACCACGCCCGGCTCATACTAAACATTTTAATGTAGAAAAACCATTAGTCGGGTGTGGTGGTGCACGCCTGTAGTTCCAGCAAGTAAATTCCCATGACAACACAGCGGTTGAGGACAGCTAGTTCAAGCAATGCAACACCCACCAAAATCTGCGCTCCGTTAATCGCCCCCACCCCCAAATAAACCTAAAAGGCAATGCAATGCCTATGCCTTTGGTTTTCCCTTAGCATTCTTCGTGTTGGCTAAAATTCCAGTTATGTGGCCTATAGAGTGAATTCATACTCAGACGGAGGAGCCAAGTCCTAGTGAACTCGTCAGTATGCTTGAACTCTAACTCAAGCTTTGCCTCTGGCCATTCCTATCGCCTTAAATTATTATTCCAATAATTAGCTCCTGTGTACCTGGAGCTACCGAGATGCCACTCGGTTCCCACCTTCCAAGTGCACCCACCACCTGGATCACCAAGGTACTCAAAAGGCGCCAAAATCGCAAAGTACAATTGCTCAGCGAAAGTGCAAGTCTGATACGCACCCTCCTGTAAATTTTGCTTCTTTATTGACCACTGTCCCTAGAGATGCAATTAAGCCTCCCGCTTCCACCCACAAACTACTCTCAAAATTACTTTTTTTCTTAGTGTCACCGGGAGGTTCCTCCGACCCCGGCGAAACTGCGGCTGAAGACGGGGGCTCTGGGGTGGCTGTTTCCGGAGAGACCTCCGAAGGGCCTTCGCCGGCCTCAGCCGCAGAAGGAGGGAACTGCAGCACAGCCCCAGGTTCCTCCGCCATCTTGGTCACTGAGAGCAGAGAACGGAAGTGACGTAAACTGCGTGTAGGGGGCGGGTCTTGCACTCCGGAACGTCGCAAAGCACGCCCCGGGCGGGGGAATTCCAAGCCAATATTGACTTTGGGGTGGACGGAGAGCCATCCACATCGATTCTGAGCTGGAATTCCAGAGTGAGAGGACTAAGAAGTTTCGTCTTATTGCAGCGACCTTCGTGGAGGCCGTCCCTGGGGAGACTCCGGGCACCTCCAAGCGCGCACGCACCCCTCGGGCCCTTACTCGGGCCCGGCGACGCTTCCGCTTCCCTGCGAGCCTGCCCCGCCCAGGTCCCGCCCCTAGGCCCCGCCCCCATGGCGGGAGCGCGCGCGCGCGCGTGCGGGAGGGGGCGGGTAGGGAAGCTGCGCCGGCAAGCTCTGGAGGCGAGGCTCGCGCGCCCGCCCCCGCCCTGGCCCCAGCGCCCACCCGGTCGGCCCGGCCCAGCCATGATCAAGGCCATTCTCATCTTCAACAACCACGGGAAGCCGCGGCTCTCCAAGTTCTACCAGCCTTACGTGAGTATGCAGCCGCCGCTTAGTCGCCGGCGCGGGGCAGCGCCCAGCGGCTTCCTCACGACGACCCTCGGGCGCCTCGGCCCTCCTCGCGCCCGGCCGCCTGGCGCCGCGGGCTGTCAGCCTCGGGCGCTGGGAGCCGCCTCTGTTCCCCGCCGGGCTAGGCGGTTTCTCCGTGCGCCGGCGAGGCCCTTGATGCTGCCCACCCGCCCTGCAGCTGGCAGCCGGAACCCGCGGCCAGCCTGTCCTCCCCACCTCCGCCCAGCCCTGGCAGGTGGACTTTCTTCTGTCGCCCGTGGACAGATGGGCCACTGTATCCGCCCTAATCCTCCCAGGGCGCTGCAACTTTGGCTTCCTGCAAGCTCTGCCCAGCCTGTCCAGTGTGTTTCCTTACGGAAGCGTCTGAAGCCCAGTGTGACTTCCAGGTGTCTCTCTGTGGAGAGAAATAAGTGGGGACTGACATCTTTAGCGGTTTTAACCTGCCGTCTGTATTTACAAGCAACTGGCTGATCATTAGAACAGTGGTTCTGTACCTCAAAGTTAGGATTTCAATCTGGTTTGACTTTTTTTTTTTTTTAACGTAAGGGTATTTGTCCGACTTTTTAGTTTTTCTTTTACTTGTAAGAAATGGTATTTGTGAAAGTTCTCTTTTAGAACTATGAATATTGTTTAATATTGCCAAAGGCAGGTGACGTTAAGGTAGCAAGGATAACTTCCGAATGATTGAGAAGGGGTTATAGGTTGCCATTCCTTACCTGAGGGCCAAACTCACGCTAGGTAAAACGTTGATTGAGCCGTCATTGGTTGGATGAAGGTGGACTATATAACTATTGTATTGGGACATTTCGCTTATAGCCAGAAATGAACTTTCAATTTAGTATTGAAACTGTGCCAAGACTAACACTTTATGCACATAGTCCCAGATGGAAATTATTCCTGCCATTAAAAATGAAATGTGAAAATGTCATTTTGCCTAAAGTGATAATGCAGTCTGTGGAGGTGTTGGTTGAAGTGAGAAATCTTGAGCTGCTTCTTCACTTCCTTTAAGGTGCTTTGCTTTTGCTAATGATAAAGAACATTTGCACGACTCCTGTGTGGTTTTTACTTTAGCTTAAATGCTAATGTTCTATTTAAAAATTCTAGATCATTCTTTAGTACAGAACTAAACTCTAACTGTTCCTTGTAAGTGGAAACAATGCTGTTAACTCTACATTGTTATCTGCTTGCCTAAAATGTGTCTTTGTTGAATCTCAACCATTTCGCAGTGCCATCCATTTGTAGTACAGAAAAAGTATGTTCCAATTGTGAAATAAAATTGAAAAGATTTTTTTTCTCCGTGTCTAAATTTAGTGATTAGTCTGGCCTGGTGTGCAGGCCTGTAATCTCAGCTACTCAGAAATCTGAGGCAGGAGGATTGACAGTTCAGGGCTACTGGGTTCAAGCCCAGCCTGTACAATTTAGTGAGATCCTGTCTTTATGTGAAAAGTAAAGGAGGGCTGGGGATGTAGCTCAGTGAGGAGAGCTTGCTTAGCATCCACAGGGCCCTGGGTTCAATCCCCAGTACTGTAAAATTGTTACTAAACATTATTCAAAATAATAGGTTCCTTAACATCAGGGTAATCATTCCTGTAGAATTTAACCATATGAAATATGAATTTAACTTGGAAATCTAGAACTCCATCTTCCTATAGCCCAACAGTGGGGTAGAAATACGTTTCATCTTAACTTTCTAGGTAGCAGTGAAGGAGGCAATTGGCAGCAGTTTGTGGCAGTTTGGGCCACTGTGTGAGCGAGGGTGCTGCTGTGCATGGAGCTAGAAGATATTTGAGGAATCAGTCTATGACTATATAGAGTAGTATGCTGAAAGCTGTTTCTGTGTATTAAGCTTTATGAATTGGATTTTGCCAACTATGAATTAATTTGCTTTTCAGAAATAATTTAAAGTAATTCCTGTATTTGCTTCCTCCACTAGATTATAACCTCTGTGAGGGTACATATTTTTCTTTCATTCTATCAGTCAGTTTGTCAGCAGATATTTACTTCATGTCTACTATGTAAGTACTGTTAGATGCACAAACATCTACCTTCTGCTCTTGTGGAAGGGCATAGACACAGCCAATAAATTCACTGTATATGTCAACTATTAATAGTAATAGTGTAGAAGAAATAAAGCAAGGCAAAATAGGGAGTTTTAGAATTACAATTTAAAATACTCCAGCCAGTTAAGTACTTACCAGAAGGTAACATTTAAAGAGTCTTGAAGGTGGTAAGAAAGACAACCTTGGCAGTCACTTGGGGGAAAGGGCATTCCAGGCAGAGGAAACAGCAGGCTCATAGCTCTGAGGCCAGGGTTTGGGGAATGACCATCTAGAACAGACATAACAAGTGGGGACTTTGATGTGTTTGTGTGACTCCAATATTGGAGTGCAGTCTTTTCTCATTTCCTGAAATGCCCTTCCCTTATCGTATGTCTAACAGCCACTCTTTGTTCTCTACCCAGCTCAGACATCATGTACATGTGTATATATTTTTGGAAGGAATTTACCTTGTTGCTGCTCTTGCCTTTGGATTTTATTTTTTAGCCTTAATATGTGTCCTACTTAGCTTTCTATTGCTGTGATAAAATACCAACCAAAACCATCTTGGTGAGGAAAGGGTTTATTTGGCTTACTTGTCTGATCTCAGTCCATCTTGAGTGAAGTCAGGGTGAGAATCTAGAGTCAGGAACTAATTTGGAGCACACTGCTTACTGGCTTGCTCCTCTGGCTTGTTCAGTTTCCTGTATAACTCAGGACCACCTGCCCAGGGGGTGGCACCACCCACAGTGGGTTGGGCATTTTTTTGTCACTCTGCAATCAAGAAAATGCCTCACAGATATGTCCACAAGTCAGTCTGATAGAGGAACTTCCCCAATCAAGATTCCCTCTTGCCAGGAGTGTCAAGCTGACAACTGAAGCTGTTTGGCACATTATGGTATAGTATTTTGTTTCACAGAATATAATTCTTTGGGGCATCTTATAGAAATTTTAAAGAAAGATTTAATTTAAGCATATTTGTATCATCCTCAGCAGTCAACATTGAATCTTGAAATGTAAAGATTCATTTATTTTTATGTATGTGTGCCTGCATATGCCTTTGTGGACCTTTTTTTTTTTTTGCAGGTGCCTGCAGAAGAGGGCATCAGATCCATTGGAATGGGAGTTATTGGCAGTTGCTAGCTGCCTGATGTGGGTGCTGAGAACTGTACTCTGGTCCTCTGCAAGAGCAGCAAGCTCTCTTAACTGAAGAGCCATCTTGTCAGCCCCTGTAATAAAATCTTAATGTCTTTGTTAAATGCATTCCTTTGGAATCTAGCTTTGGGGTAGAATTGGATTTTAATTGTTCTGTTGAATTTCCTTCCCACTCTTAAAATTTAGTTCTTAATTAAGCAGAGATTTTTAAGAATCCATGTCCTTATGTACAAAAGTAATGATAAGATAGCTTTTATTAACTGTTCTTGGGTTAAGTTGAAAGAAATCTCTAACATATATGCATCAGGGCTGTCAAGATAGCTTAGCACTTAATGCCAAGCCTGGATCTGAGTACAACCCCCAGAACCCACATGGTAGAAAGAAAGAATTGACTACCAGAAAATTGTTCTCTGACCTGTACATACTTTGGCCCATGTGCCCCCCCCATATACAAATAAATAAATTATAAAAAAATTAATTTCAAAAAGAATATATATCCAGTAAGACTGACAGTTTCTAATTAAATTAAATTAAGCATTATTTAGTGATATGACTAGGCCAACACTTCTGAACCCTGGCAGGATGCTGAGGCTTGAGTTAAACAATAATGGTTTAATACTAACAGTTTGAAAATTGCTTAACCTTTTTGTCAGCAAGTTTCCACTATTACAGTGGGGTTTCACCATTCTTTTATCCTACCTAGGAATCCTTCCTCAGGTTGTAACAATGTATGTCATCTCTACCCCTTTGTAGTACAGGTGTTCACTTTGTGCTATAATAGCTTTGGTTTTACCTCCAAGCTGTTGCCACTTGCCGGACATATGAAGCAACATGTCTGCTTGGCTCATCTGCTCAAGTTGGGCTTTAAGACTTCATGGATGGACTCTTTTGCTTTTGCCTGCCATATCCTTGAGCTTGTCATTGCAGAAGTTCAGATTTTTTTTTTTTTCCGTCTCTTTAAATTGCTTAGCGGCACACACCTTTTATCCCAGTACTTGGGAGGCAGAGCCACATGGATCTCTGTGAGTTCAAGGCCAGCCTGGTCTACATAGTGAGTTCCAGGACAGCTACAGAAACTTGGCAGTAGTAACCTTTAGGCTCTTAATAGTTACATAGCAATATTTATATAGCACTGAGACATATAAATCAGATATATTTTTACAAAGCTATTAAACAAGAAAGCAGCATCAAACCCTCCTTGGGCTCTGATTTCTGTGTTATTGGAAGACCGTAATATATCCTTTAGTGAGTCATT